CCTGCTGAAACTTGAACCAAGTATTTACACAGCAACAAAAACTATCCTTTGTTACACAGCAGATAGGAACTGAAAGAGCTCTTTATTCAGAGAGGTGGTATAAGCTAAACACAAAAAACCATGAAGTTTTGCAGAGTAGAGGGACAACTAGGGGCTCTGGATTTAGGGAGGCTTGGATATGAATACCTGCTTCAACACTCTCCAGCTGTGTGACTTTAAAAAAGGTGTTTAAAGTCTCTGGGTTTCAGTTCCCTCCTCTCTGAAATGGGTTTTTAATCCCATAAAAGTATCAGTAGGATTAAATGAGATGCTTTAACTAGCACAGTGCCTAGTATGTGGCGTGTGGTCAATCATATATCATTAGGGATATCAGAAATCTGGGCCTGTCACTGAAGCTCTGAGGTCATGCTGTGGAAGACAATGAGGCCCTACTTTGACCACTTCCTTGGAACTATTGTAGGAGACAGAATCTTCGGCTGGATAGATCATGGCTCTGTTTCAGAAGGGCATTTTTATATTAAACATTGTGTTAACATGTCAATAATCACATTCCTACATCTCACAAAGCTACTGGTCTACTTACTCAACAAATACATATAACAACAACCCTCCTCTGGATTCTCTGCTATTCTAAGTGTGGAGTCACAGTGAGACAGAGTGCCTACCTGCCTCCAGTTCCCAGTCTAGTTCCCTTATGACAAGTGCAGGAGATAATGTGAGTAAAGGCACGTAAAACAGGGCCTGGTATGTAGCAATGACTTAAGCAGTATTAGCTGCTATTATTTTTGTTATAAAAAATATCACATCACTTTTCTACAGTTCTGAGAGGGATAAATCATGAACGATATTTTAGAAAATATAAAATATAGTTTGAATGGTCAGGTTCACAGTAACAGAGAAATTTTAAGTCACAAAGGTAAAAGCTTAGTTTATTGGTTGATCAACTGTGTAATAAGCATACTCTTTGGGGGGGGAAAACCTCTTCTCTACAAGGTGTTCATCTTATTTTCTTTCACGTACACTGTAAATATTTTCCAGTTGGTTGTTTGTCTTCTATGTTATTCATTTGTTTATTTTTTATATACTTAAGTAGTAATTTTATGCAGGTAAATCTATATGATGTTTTAATCATCTTATATGAAAATAATAATTTTATTCCCTTTCCAAAAGTAACAAAACTTCTTATTTCTCTTTCTCTTAGTGCAGAGTCTAGAATACCCAGAACAAAAGTAAGTGACTATGGGGACTACTTTGTGATTAGAAACATGGTCTGTGAAGACAGAAGTCCTAAGTTTAAAGCCCAGTTTGGTGTCTTTATTGTAACTGTGTGGTGATGGGTAAGTTACTTTGCCTCTCTGAGCCTCAGTTCCTCTATCTGTGAAACAGGACTAGTGTCACTATTTTATAGGGTTGTTGTGAGGATTAGTTAATCTATATAAAACCTCATACAACAGTGCCTGGAATTTAGAAATGCTCAAATGTCAGTTCTTAATATGACTAACTTGTCTGGATTTTATTGGCTACAACCTCTAGTATTTTTTCATCATGGGTGATGTTGGTTATCTGGTTATTCTTCAAAGTGTTGAGGAGGTATTATTTTTGAGTTTACTAAGAGTTTTGTTTTTAAACTAGGAATGAGTGTTAATATCAATAAATGACTAAATGATTACTTGGCCACTACTGAAAATTTAGGTTTTATTTTTTACCCACTGATATAACATATCCTAGTAGGTTTTCTGGTATGAAATGATCCCTTTTCTACACTGGTAAACTAGACTGCTGCATGTACAGTCATTATACAACTGGTCTTTACTTTTTGGTGTTACATTTCTCAGGTTTTGGTTTCAAGGTTTCTAAGCATAAAATGTATCAGGATTCTTTTAGGCTTCCCATCTTTTCCTTTACCCTGGAACTGTTTATATATTTTGGAAATAATTAATTCTCATAAGCACCCAAGAAGGAATAGACTATTATTATCTCCATAAGCTCATCTCAAATTGAAACTCCTTGGGTCTAATACCCTTTGTGGAGAGAGTAATATTTTGACAAGTTTTTGATTCCTTCCTTGGTACTAGTTTATATGGCTTCTCACTTTTTTATTACACATTTGGATAACATATTTTTTCAGAATACTGTACTATTTGTTGAGATTTTAAAATATCTTAGTAATAGAGCTATTAAAAAGAAAAGACCTCTGAATAAGTTATCCACTGAATTTTTAAAACCATAATAAAGAGGGTGTAACGCTACCTCTATGATAACATCACCTTCACATGGGTCAGAAAAGGTGTCACAGCCCCCAGGAAGAGGCTCATATCCTGAAGCCTATCTTAACCCCATTACAGACACTAATGTTCTGTGAACCTTGCTGCATGCTTGTGAATTTTGATTTTAGATATTTCTGTTCTCCTCTAAATCTTGTCTATAGATCAAGTTTTATATAGAAAACCAAAGAGCACAAAGTCTAGATCTTAGTGCGCTTCTATTTAGCAACAATGCAATAGACATGATGACTAAAAGGCAGAGTAAAAACACAAGTGAAAGTTGCAATAAACAGTTTTTGTGTTGTAATTTTTCATCAAGTTTATTTGATTTGCCAATTATAAATATTTGCTGGACTTATTAATACTTTTGGAATGGAGCTCTGGAAATAAATCAACACTCATTAATAAATAGAACTCAAGCAAACACTTAATTAGACACACATTTATCTTTCCTTGAATAATGAGAAACTTTTGATATTTTACTCTCATCCTCATGAAAGGCTCCTGTAAAGGCTGTGCTACTAAGCCTTCAGATCTCCAGCCTGAGCTAAGGAACCAGCTTCTGGTAGGAAGGATAAAGTTGACACCTGTAAGTCAATATGATTCTTAGTTTCCTTTTAGAAAGTTAAAACCATGTGGTGCAGAATGAACTATAGATTACATAGCACAGATTGAAGTCTACTGACCATACATTACTCTCTCTATAGATATATCCATCAACTATCACTAAATAGCAAAACTGACTTGCTTAAGGGAAATACGAAGGAAAAAGCTCTTACAGGGATTCATTAATCTTTAACCACTGAGGCTTACCTCTCTACGTCTGGAAGCCCAACAACTTTGTTTGATCTTCCAAACCACAGCAGCCACCAGGAGCAAAGAGAGGAAACAACTGTGAGAAAGGAAAGTACTGAGTTATTATCCCAACCCCCAGAATCAGCACACTGTCATCCACACCCCATGTCAGGCAGGGGAACAATCCCCCAAATACCAACTCCAAGCTCCTTTCTGATGAGTCATCACAACCATGTCCTGGTTCATAGGAAACAAAGTGTGAGAAGACTTTGATAAGCTGGGCTTCCAGACCCAACTAGACAATACTGTCTCCACAAGGTACTCTGAGAGGAGAGCCTTGATTTCCTGCCGGCCTTTATCAGAATGGTCCATCATGGCTTATCCCAAATAATAAAAACAATTCTATGATAATTATGACAAGTAACAAGCATGCTATTTAATCAAATTAGCAAAAATCTACTGGTAAAGTCTAAAAAAATGAGAAAACTATCAAAGTAACAACCAGCTTTTCATAAGGAACAATAAATTTATATGTAGTAATATATATTCAAAGTAAATACCTATTTTTTAAATAAAATAAAACTAAATTCAAGCCAACAACTTTCTTAAAAGTATTAGGAGAGACGAAGTCCCAGTGGTCTTATAACTGCAAATGATTTCAATGTTCTCTCAACATTCAATGCCTCTTAAACCAGGCACCGAATGGTTTGAAAAGCTACTGTGACAGCAAAGAGAATGACTGACTTCTGATTAAAAGGACTAATGAGTCTAACAAATAAATCTCTTAGTAACCGCTAAATAATTTTAAAATTGGCATTTTCATTCATTAACTTGTAAAAGGGGCTTGTTACAGAGTACTGTTCCAGGGTGTTACAAGCAGACACAAGGCTTTCTGCCCCTGTAGTTGGGTACTCTCTTGCTGAGCTCTGTTTGCAGGATGGGGTTGGCTTTACGAGAGGCAGCTTCAACGCACAGATCGCTGAAGACAGGCCTCCACAGCTGGCTGGTGACAGGCCCTCTAAGGTGCTAGGAGGACTGAGCTTCTGCCCTTTCAGATATAGAAATTAAGCCTCCCTCAGCCCATCACTTCCCTAAGAGGCACAGAGTACAGACCCCTCCACTGGGTCCCCTGACAAAAGAGAAGCTCCCCAGGTTATCACTCAGTGGAGAGTCTTCAGTTCCTATCTTGCTGGGCCTCCCGGCTGTCCTGACACTGAAGATCCTTCCTCCTTTCTGACAGTTTCTATTTTTCTTTTTATCAGTACTTTACTGAGGCAGGTCCTGTTCTAGGCTCATGGAATACACCAGTGAACAGAACAAAAGACCACTTTTCCCATGCAGTTTACATTTCAGCAGATGGAGGTAAACAGTGAACAAAATAAGTGAGCAAATTATAGAGCATGTCAGAAGGGGGTAAATACTACACAGTATGGTAAGGGTAAAGAGGTTCAGGAGTGACAGTGGCACTCTAAAGCAGAATGGTCAGAGTGGGTGGGCCTTAATTCTTGAGAAGGTGACATCTGAGCTAAGACAGAGGATGTGTGGGAGGTGGCTTGTGAAGGTCTGCAGAAATGCGCCTGGGCAACCAGGGTCAGCCAGTGCAAAGCCTGAGGCAAGGATGTGCCTGGGATTTCTTGAGGAACCTCAGGAGGCCAGTGTGGCTGGAGTGGGGCGGGGGGGAAGTTAGGCCAGGGATAAAGACACAGAGGTAAGAAGAGGGCAGATCACGAGGGCCCGACAGGCATTATAATGGTGTTGGATTTTCCTGAGTGAGATGAGCCAGTGCAGGTTTTTGAGCAGAGAAGTGTCATGATTTAATTTATGCTGAGGAGACCATTAAGGTAGCAATGCAGAAATAGAAAGAACAGGAGTCTAGGTGAAAAATGAGGGTGGCTCAAACCAGGATGGTGGTAGCAGGGGTGTGAAAAGCACTTTGGAATCTGGACATGACTTGAAGGTCAAGGCAATAGGATTTCCTGATGGGCTGGATGTAGGGTATAAAAGAGAGAAGTCAGGGTCTGAGGAACTTGCCATCAAACCTGGACAGGGAAGGCTCTGGGGGGAGCAGGTGCGAGACAGCAGAGTTTAGTTTTAGACATGTTGAGTTCTGAGACATCTACCTGAAAGCTACTCGGGGCTGGTTGCTAGGTCTGGGCTGGAGACAGCATTTTAGAGTCATCAGCATATACATGGTATTTGAAGTAATGAATCTGGATGAGGTCATCAAGGGGATGAATACAAATAGAGAAGAGTGTCTTAGGGGCACCCCAACACTGAGAAGTTGGGGGAAGAATAGGAAGAAGCAGTAAGGGAGTCTGAGAAGAGTAACCTTCTTTAGTCTTTCATGGTTTCTATGCATAATCCTGCTTTTTCCCCCCCATCAGCTTGCTTTCTGGTAGTTTTATTCTAATAGATAAACACATGGTGGCAGCAAATCCACATGGAAGAACATGAAACACATGAGTTGGTCAGGATGCTGCTGATGCAGCTGAATACAGGGCTGGTCTCAGAGGCAAGGAGTCTGGTGTCACTCAGAGGCCTCTCTTGGACTACCCTCAACACAGAACTGTGAAACAGTGCAGCTCAGAAGGTCTGTGCCCCTTATCCCTGAGGGGCTTCTTCTTCAATGCAGACCTGTTAGAAACACCAACAACACAGTTCCTTCCGCCTGTTCCAGTTTTTCTGAGAGACATAAACAGCATACCGCCACACAATGATTGTTCCTCAAAGCTGATACGTGCATGATTTCTCCAAGGGTAACACAACAATGAAGAATTTACTAGTTATTTCAAAAAAGGTGGCACTTGCTGATACCCCTCCCTTCTTTTTTTTCCTACCACTAATCTGGGTACAGGTGGGGCTGTGACTCAGTGTTCATCTTACTGCAGTTCCTCTTATCAGTTGTTCTCTATAGTTTTTAATACAAATGTAATTTTTAAAAAAATCATGGAAATTTTCAAACATACACAAAAGAAGAGAGACTGATCCAGTGAATCTCTATATGTTCATTACTCAGCCTTGCAATTATTAACATTTCCCTATGGCATTCAAAGATCATTCTTAAAGAAGTGTATTTCTCTCTTTCAACACAGGGACACTGGCCCCAGGCTAAGGGTCTTTCACTTCTTTTCAGCTCTGTACCTAGGAAAAAACAAGACTCCTTTGTCCTTTTTTGTCCTAAACCTGTCCCTGCTTATCAGAGGCTTACACTTTCCTGAGACTATGCTCAGGAATCCATGTCTTGACTCTAGGTCTTTCTTTCCATCTTTTGTATCAATATATATCTTCGAAAACTCACAATATTTTCTGAGAGCTCTGTGTTTGGGGATGTTTTTCACCAGCTTAACTGTAATTGTGTATGTAGAATGATACTTTTGAGAGTGTACTGAACTTTGCTTTTCCTGTCCTTGCAAATCTAGCCTTTCTAAAACTACATATTCGGGACTTCCCTGGTGGCCCAGTGGTTAAGAATCTGCCTTCCAATGTGGGGGACGTGGGTCTGATCCCTGGTCGGGGAACTAAGATCCCACATGTCGCGAGGCAACTAAGCCCACGCGCTGCAACAACTGAGCCCGTGCCACAACTAGAGAGCTCGCATACCGCAACTAAGACCCAACTAAGCCAAAAATAAAAATAAATAAATAAATAAAATAAAAACAAAAAAACTACATATTCATTTCTTGGCCTGGCCTTGACCTCCCAACCAATCTAAAACAGAGACACTGCTGCTTCTTCCCAAGTTCCTGTGATGTGCACTTCACCATTCTGGTTTGAATTAGATCCAGAGTGGTAGGACCCCATATCACTTCCATCTTCTGGAAAATGAAATGATCAACAAGACATGGATGTGTCAAAATGTCTGCTGTCAATCTGGCAAGGACCTTAGCGGAAGTTCAGATAATTAAAAGTTTTATAAAAACATACCTTGCCAATATCAGGAATTCCCATTACAGTCCCTCCTATTGGCCAGTGCCTCCTATTGGACATCCCCTCTTCTCCTTTTTATTCTCACCCAAATGCTATCCTCTAAGGCACCTCTAACTCCAGTCACACAGATGTTCAGAGTGTTAGTCTGTCTCTCCCTCTTCTACTAATAATCATTATCCTGACCACACTACCACATCACTTCCAGATACAAAGCTCTTTCACATGCATCACCTCATTTGATTTTCAGAGAAAGCAAGCAAATGGGTCTTATTATTTCCCTCTTTATACACACAAGGCTCCTACTGGAGTCTGGGAGAGCATCTCAATTAAGACACAAAGAGGGCTTAATGGATTTATCGGGATCTAGAGTTTACTCTTCACTGTGCCCAAGTCTGGGAGTCCTTTTCTAACTTATTTCACACTGATATTTTCTCATTTGAATCACTGAGCTATCCCCTTCTACCCCCACCCCAACTCTAATTCTCTCTTCTGTATTCTATGAGCTATTCTTCAGAGTGCTTAGGATTATCTGTATACCTTTCCTTCTCTCCTTATGTTTCATGTATATCCTTTTGGACCTGGTTAACTTGCTCTGGGAATATATTTTCTTCCTCACGCTTATGAAAAGGACTCCATTCTCAGCTAAAGCTCATTATTTCTACTTCCAAAACAAAATCCAGAAAAACCAAAGTTCTGCATTCTTTTTTTTTTTTAATATTTAGCAAAAGTCCTTTATTTTATTGTCTTTGAATTCAATGGAAGCTTAGTGGAAATTAATTTTTTAAAATTAATTTTTATTGGAGTATAGTTGCTTTACAATGTTGTTAGTTTCTATTGTACAGCAAAGTGAATCAGCTATGCGTATACATATATCCCCTCTTTTTTGTATTTCCTTCCTATTTAGATCACCACAGAGCACTGAGTAGAGTTCCCTGAGCTATACAGTAGGTTCTCATTAGATACCAAAGTTCTGCATTCTTTTCCAAAGGTTCCCACATTCAAAAAAAGGAAGAACTGATGAGAACACCATCTGTCCTTGTTTTCTACACAAGATTCTGTGGTCCCTGATTGATTCTGATGGTGTCATTCAGTCTTCCACCAATCAGCTACGGTGACTAATCCTCACTGGGTTGGTACTTGGCAGCTGAGTCACCTCACTCTGTACACATG